TTTTTCATCGTTGCTACATCGCACCCTGACTGACTCGTCTCCTCCCAGAGACCTCTTTGGGATGGTTTTTATAGGGACTTGGGGGCCATTTCAAATGGTTGCTCTTGCCCCTTTGGTTTCTCCTTTAATATTTGATTTCATGTGATTTGGAGTTCCCCATTCATAAAGGCCGTTGCTGAGGACTCCTGAAGTACCTATCCTGGTTCTGTGCTCCAGCAAGGCCCATTGCTGTCTCCTTCATTGCAGATGAAGATTGCATAGGACTTTGACTAGACCTGTCTGGGTACTCAAGCCCTTCAGACAGAACCTTGCCTCCTGCTTCCGCATACTTCAAGAATGTGTTTAACAGGAGAGTGTGGTGGAACTTCTGAGATTGTTACTCAGCAGGATGCCAAAGATATTGGACAAAGAGATCCTAGGGTTTTTTTTGGGGGGGGATACAGGGGGAACTGCAAATTGTTTTATTCCTCAATAAATGTTTTTACTTTGAATTTAACATAGTATGTGTTAATCTTGACACCTAGGTCAGAAAACAGCCCGTATCTACCCTCAAGCCACTACTGTACCCAAAATCTTCCCACAGAGCTGATATTTTCTCGAATGTATCTGATTTTCTGTTGTTTTAAAATGCTGTCTAATTGTTAGAGATCCTTTAAAAAACAAACAAACAAACCACAACAACCCGGGAACCTTCTCTCTGTCTTTCGGGATCTCAGTCGATGTTTATGGGCAGAGCACAAAGACCCTTCTCACGGGCCTGCCCTCCCCAACTCCGAGACCCTTTGTTGACGCCCAGAGCTTGTCTTCTCTTTGTTGGCACTGTCTACATAGGCGGAAGCGTATTCTCCTGGGTCTGTATACTTTTTCCTGAAACGTGTTGCAGTTCCTAAAGTCTGCAATGCCATTCTCCTTTTTCTGCGAAGCCACCCTGCCCCTCCGTAATGGGCAACTTAAGGCCGGTAGACTTCCCTGAGGGGGCGCTTACTGGGCCACAGAAAGCTTCACCTAGTTCAATAAGCACGCGACAATAAAAGGCAGCTTCAAAAGCTGAGGGGGAATGCCATTGTCTTCCATGTCTGCTGAATGGTTGCTGGAAGCCCCTTCAGGAAGAAGGTGAAGGTCATGGAGACTATCCTGGTTTTACATTTGCTCTTTCATGCACTTCTTCCCTGTGCCACCTGTCTCCCTTCTTCTTTTCCAGCCCTCTGACTTTGCCCTGGAGTAAATTTTGCCCTGTGGGTTTTAAATGTAGAGTTTGCTAACACACAGGTGAGAAGGGCAAGAGCTAGATCTTGGAGGTGGAGTCCGCCCAGTCTCCGTCTGACCAGTAAGCATGATCGCATGGTTTTGAGCTCTGTTCCACATTTCCCCCGACTCTTTCCAAGACCTTCCAATGTGATCCTTTCATAGCAGTTACAGTGTAGCTGAGCACCGTCTACTTTTTTTCATCTCAGGCTTGTGGAGACCGATCTTTGCATTGTCTTGTTATTGTATCAAACTCTTTCTTTCCATGTACCTTCCAATTTTCTTCACTCTCCTTTCTTCCAGCCAGAGACCAATAGTTGCATCTTGGATGACTGCTCAAGAGTTTTTAAGACCCCAGTCACTACTGACCAAAGTAGGATACAGAACATTGTCTTTGTGAATTCTTGGTATTCGAATTGATCTTGGTGTCCCTCAGGTGCAGTAACTTGTTTCCTCAAGGTGTTTCGGTATGCGTGTTTCGGTATGCCTAAGAAGTTGTCCTTACTTTTTCACCTGTAAACAATCACCAGCTCTTTCTGATGCGGTCTTAAGTCTCAAATTTACACAGACTTTTGCTCACCTACAGTGACCCTGCAGCTTCTTGAAATACAGATAACATACCTGCTTTAGATGGTCGTCATTCCGGGACACTGATACTAACATACCGTACGCATAAGTGAAAATGTTATTATCAACTTTTAATATCTTCGATAATCTGGCTTTACTTCTGTGCTTTTGTTTGCTTAGTTCTTGGAAGAGACCCAGATATCTATGTCTTTGATTAATTCTCTAGGTGTTCCAAAGGAAGCAATTAGTAGATAAATGTTTGCAATTTCTGCCCAGAGAAAACTGGTGTTCTAAACCAAACAAATGGCTTGCATTGTACTCAGCAAGAATTCCAGCACAATATCATCTCTCTGTCTAATCAGCAGGAATCTCTTCCTCCGAGATGAATATTATTTCCATTTTGAAGAAAAAGACAAAGTCCCTGACAGTAGAGAAGACAGTGAAACTAGCAGAAAACCCAGGTAGGTGGAAATAGACCAGGATGGAAACAGCGGGGTCTTAGTTTCTCAGAGCTGCTGTAACAGGAATACTTCGTGCAGGTGGGGGGCTTGAACAAGCAGATACATTTTTTCCCAGTTATAATGCATGAAGTTCAAATTCAGGACACCGCCTACAGGGGAACATGCTCTCTGTCAGCTGTAGGTGCAGGTTCATTGTCTCATCAACTTCTCTTTCTTAGCTCCTGGGTGACCTTCATGTGTTAGGTATCTTCCCTTCCCCTCTCTGTATCCTAGCTTCCAGAGGGACTGATCTATTCATTTATGTCTGCAAAAGTGATTAAGATAATGGCAGGCCTCATTAACAACAAAGAAACCCCTATTCCCCAATGGGATTACATCCATAGGTATAAGGAGAAAGAGTTACCACATAAAAATTCGGAAGGCACAGTTCATTCCATTACAGTAGGTAAGCGGTCCGATGGTTAGAGAAGTCACACCATTGCCTGCATCTTGAGGATACTCTGCCTCAGTGGGAAAACTCAACTTTATTTGATGGAAACTGCTTTGCTAGTCTCCCCTGCAACCCAGGTATTGCAGTCTTCAGATGTGTCCAGTTCCGTCCCCAGTGGTGCTACTCGTCAAGC